AATTGGGAACGTTTATATGTAAACAGCCCTGCTGATCCTCTGTGATGGGATTTAAGATTCCAGCACTCATTGAAGAGTAGCTTTCATTATTTTTGGCTTGTAGCTTGTTATTGATTAACTTCTTCCCATTGTTCTTCTCTGTCCCCTTAGATTAAGGACATCTCAGAAATTCTTTTATCACATGTAAAAACTTACATGAAATAAATTCATATGCTTTTGTCTTTGTTAGTCTTTTATTATAGGGGCTTTAGCCACAAGTCTAAGAAAAGGTAAAGACGAGATGTTTGTCCTCCCCTATGTTATGTAGGGGTGTGTGGGGTTCCAGAGATGCTGCCTCCTGATGTTATGGGGCTAGGGCCTTCTGTGAAACTGAGGCAGTGCCAAGTCCCCTCCAAGTCCCAATTCTTGGGATCAGGCCAGAAAGACTTCAGATTGTGTTGCTCAGAGTTACAGGAATGAGTTCATTACAGGGGAGAGTAAAGGGGAAAGGGGACCCTCTCAGAAGGTCTCTCTCAAAGGAGACAGTGGGTCCTCTCAGAGAGAAGAGGGATGGCATGTACGTCCTGTCCTCCGGTTTTATAGGAGGTCCCAGGGAAGTTTCCAGAGAGTCTCSACCAGGTCCACCTGGTCCAGGATTTTTGATTGTTAGCAGCATGACATCAGGCTTTCAAGTCCCCACTGCCATGACAACTCTAGGTCGCTTTGGCCCATGTTGACCTAGTCTTACAGCTTTTATGGTTAGGGGCAATTATCCTTATCTCCCCAAGTTCTGGGATCTGATCTGCTTCAGGGTAACTTGTGTTCTTCTTATCAGCATTTCAGGCCTGCGTTTCTCCTGCAGATAACAGGTAGTTTCTGGAGGAATGTAGCATATCCTGTGGACTTAAGCCAGGCAGGGCTGCAGGTAAATTGCTTTTTTAAAAGAGAAAGTTGTGGGAGTCAACACATGGACCCATTTACAGAATTAGTCCCTTAAGCTCACATTCCTACCACTCAATGTCTGTCTGTCCCCTATCACTGATACTTTTTTTTTTTTTTTTTTTGGTACCAGGGATTGAACTCAGGGGCACTCAACCACTGAGCCACATCCCCATCTCTATTTTTTATTTGATTTAGAGACAGGGTCTCATTGAGTTGCTCAGTGCCTCTCTTGCTGGGGCTGGCTTGGAACTTGTGATCCTCCTGCCACAGCCTCCCAAGCTGCTGGGATTATAGCCTTGTGCCACTGTGCCCCCAGGCCTCACTGATACTTTAAATAAATTCTTTAATAAGTGCCTTGGAACATGGCCTAGGTCTGAGGGCCCTTGAAGGCAACCCGTAGTGTTGGATCTCCCCACTCCTCCTCTGCTTTCTCCACCTGCTGCCCACCAGTGATCCATGTTGCACCCGACACATGCAACAGCACACCTCATAGTTCTCTCTTAGCTTGAGAGTTTCCATTTTCAGTTGCAATGTCATTTGGAATGGTAAGGATTCCCATAGAAATTGCATTCTTGGTGGTCAGCCCTAAGAGATCTCAGAATTTCTTATGTGAGCAGCTCTTTTGGGGGAGGTTTGCAAGCCATTTATGAAGTGTATAGGTTTGCATCCTATTTACATGTCTGATTTGCTTTTGCTTAGGCTATTTCTAAATAACATTTTTATTCCTTAAGTGAGGATTGGGATAGAGGAAAGGGAAACCCAAGYTTCAAATGGTGTGGAAAAACCAGCCCTTTATCACCACTCTTCTATATGATAATTTACCTATGGATATTTGAAAGTTGTTTCCCATTACATTTTCTTATCATTAGGGGCCCATCTTTTCTGCTCCCCTTCCCCTTTTTCATTTATTGCCCTAGTTGGCTGTATCCAGTGGCTTCCTAGGGAAATAAAGAATCAGCAGAAGCTGATTGGAATTTTTCAAACGCATAGAAACAGCAGGACACAAACACTATGAGTGGGTGTGCCCCTCTATGACAGTGCAGTGGCTTGTATCAGATGAGAGAGAGAGAGAGAGAGAGAGAGAATATGAATTTTCCCTTCTCCCTGATTATTGCCCACTAATTACCCCCTCCCCAGAACTAATTTCCCATCAAAATCTTGAGGGTGAAAGTGGTAGGTTAGTTAGAGGTTTTAAGTAAGTGGTTTACTACCACCGCTCATAAGCGGAGATTAAAATGCAAATCCTCTGGCTCAGTGGGTAGGATGGGGATATGAAGTATTCTTTTGTTGGGGGCGGGTGAGGGGGTGGGGGGTGGAATCCACAACAGACACAGTGGCACAAGGCTCATCCGTGGGAATTGCTGCATTCCTAGGCTCTCGGGCAGCTCTGTGGAGTGCTGAATTTTGGGAAATGGTACCAGGACACTAGAGGAAGGGACTGGCTCTGCTGCCAATCTGTCCTGTGTGGTCTGGAGAGTTTTCCCAGGGATAGAAGGCTTCCACCCATTGGCAGCAGCCTCCTGCTTGACTGMATTTGAGTCAGGAGGAAAACTCCAGTCCTGCCCATGTGAGTGAGGGCGTGGGCCCCTAACCTGGGAAGGAATTGTCCCTGAGGGTCTGAGGGGGCTATCGTTCTTCAAAGAAAGATCCGTGGCTGCAGGTTCTCAGCTTCTGCTCAATCAAATGCATTCTGCAGCTGTGAATTTTCAGCTAACTTCAGACAGTCTAAAGATAATGATTTCTAAAGGGGTCATGGATAGATTTGAGTTGGAATTTAACATTAATATCATATATACAGCATTTGTTTGCATCAAGAAATCAGACAAGGGTGATTTGTAGAAATTCTACAAAACTGGGGGAGAATTTTTGGCCTGGAATTATGTTGTCCAATCTGGTAATCCCTAGCTACCTAGGCGTAGTAAGCACTTAACATGTGGTTCTTCTGAATTAAATGTGCTATAAGGGGGCTGGGGATGTGGCTCAAGCGGTAGCGCGCTCGCCTGGCATGCGTGAGGCCAGGGTTCGATCCTCAGCACCACATACCAACAAAGACGTTGTGTCC